TATAAATACACATATAGGCATTTTATCTCAGATAACATATTTGAAATACACAATTGAGATATACACAAAGATTACTAATACTTTGCTTCAAGCTTGTATTTTCTGTTACCAATTATCTACAAATGGAACTTCTGCTGTGGATATATCAGTATCAAGCTTCAGGAGTTATTAAACTCCACTGAGTAACTGCTTCCCCCACCTCTACTTCACTGGCACTGGGGATTGAACCCAGAGTTTCTTTACCATTGAGCTACATCCCCAGTTGTGTGTATTTTGTTTTGTTGTGTTTTTGTTTTTTTGAGAAAGGGTCTTGCAAAGTTGCCGAGGCTGTGAGGCTGGCCTCAATCTCTGTCCTCCTGCCTCAGCAGTTGTACACAATGGTGAGATTGTTACATATTCATACATGCACACAATATCACAATGTAATTTGGCCAATAGAATTCCCTAGTATTTCCCTTGCCCCTCCCCTCCTCCCTCCCAGCGGTCCCTTTCTTTTAATTTTTTAATTTTGAGACAGGGTCTTGCTAAAATGCCCAGGCTGGCCTTGAACTTACAATCCTCATGCCTCAGCCTCCTGAGTAGCTAGGGTTATATGCATGCACTATTGTACCCAGAAAACTCCATCAGGTTCTTGTCTCTAAAAGAGAAATTCAGACATTTTCATCGGGGCTTCAAAGTTCTTTTTTACCTTAACTGTGCAAAAATAAAGTCTGATATAAAATTTATGAAAACTTACTATTTCTCAACAAGTTCAGGCATCTGAGTAATAAGGAACACTGTTGGTTGATTACCTAGTCATAAAGCAGTGGAGGAGGCTAGGGCTGTAGCTCAGTGGTAGAGTGTTTGCCTAGCATGTGTGAGGCACTGGGTTCCATTTTCAGCACATATAAATAAATAAATACATAAAGATATATCAACAACTAGACACACACACACACACACACACACATATAAAACAAAACAAAACAAAAAAAATGTGGACACAGAATCAGGAGGAAATTTGGCTTCCTCCAGACTGTGTTGAGTATGACCTTAACAAAGTCACTTAAATTTTCTAGGGCCATGGTTTCTCCATATGCAAAAAGAAGATAGTCAGACTAAGGGGTATTCTTTTTTTTTTTTTTTTTTAAATGTTTTTGTTTTTATGTGGCACTGAGGATGGAACCTAGTGCCCCGCCTATGCTAGGTGAGCCAACCCCAGTCCCCTAAGGGGTATTCTATGGGAATAAGAATCCTCCAAATTCTAGGCAAGTGTATTCTCAGTATTTAGGGCACACTAGGGACAAAACAGATGGCACCAAGAACCAAACATCAGACAACCAGAAAGAAAGTTCTCAGGAGCTGTCCAACTTAAAGACTACTTAAAAATCAGAATTATTAATGGAAGGTATCTGATCAAAAAAGAGAAAAGCTACAATTCTAAGAGAATCAGGATATGCTACAGATCTATATCTAGAGGAATAATTTACTACATACAAATGAAAAAATTCTGGGAATTTTGTTTTATTTTTTGAGAGTTCTCAAATTTACCAATTTCATTAAGAAAAATTTACAAAGATGCAATGTGGTGGAGACCATGGTGCTCACCTCAACTTGTGAAAAGAATATGAGTTATAATAAGAGCCATGTAAAACAGTCAGGTTACATGTATCTTACCTTGGTGTTTATTTTATTATCTAGTATAAAGCTAAATAATAAATAAAGATCCATCAACAACTAAAAAGAGAGAGTATGTGTGTGTATATGTAAATATATAATTAGTATATACATAATATATGTATATATATATATAAAATTAGTTTTTTAGGTGGACATAATGCTAAATTCTATTATATCTTTTGAACACTGATGTCTTATCAGAGACATAGAAAAACATAAGTTAAACATACCCTCTTGGAAGCTAGCAGACTACCCAAAATAAAAGGAAGTTCTAATTTAGAATGGTTGTACTCTTTACCTTTCTTTTCTAAGGTGTTCTGAAATCTGAGAAGCCTACACACTCTAAAGAAAGGTTTCTAAACACATAAGTAGATGGACACGTGTGGAGGGTAGATGTTGAATCTTACCCAAACAGTATGAAAAAGCAAGGGCAAAGGTTATCCACAGCACTTGTTACACTGGATAGAAATGGTTGATTTATCTTCCTCCCAAGACTGAAGGTTCCACCAAGCCAGAGACAACATATTTACCGCCTTGTTCACTGCTGGATCCCTGATACATAGTATGCACTCAATAAATACGTGTTTTATATATATATATATATATATATATATATATATATAAAGACATCATAATTCTCATAAATTTAAAAAAGGTAAAAACTCATATGAATAGTTAAAAATAAAATCCACCGTTATATACATAATGCATCAATAAAAAAATGTAGGAAAAAAAGTGACAATCCTTTATTTTTCTTTATATTTGTTATTTAGTTTTTTAGGTGGACACAATATCTGTGTTTTATTTTTATGTGATGCTGAGGATTGAACCCAGTGCCTTATGCATGCTAAGTAAGCACTCCACCACTGAGCCACAATCCCAGCCCRACCAATCCATTTTTATGGAGTATTAAAAAAAGGGAAAAACTCAGTGTTATAAATTTATTCATCCAATGATGATTGGGCTCTGCTAATTTAAGCTATTAATTATACTTTACTCTAATTAGTAAGTTAAATTTAATAGTTAAAATCATAATTAGTAAACTGGGATTTACTAATTAAACCCTGATTTAATTTAGTAAATCAGACTAACTGATTTAATAAGCAAAATTATGTCATCCCTCAAGAGTCTTTGGGAGATTGATTTCAGAACCTCCTCAGATTCTMAAATCTACATACTTAAATATCTTGTATTCTTCCATATACTTTAAATCATCTCTAGATGATGTAATGCTACACAAATAGCTGTTGTATTGTTTAGGGAATAAGAAATAAAAGCCTGTCTGTGTTCAATAAGACTACAACTTTTTTTTCTTTTTTAGTATTTTCAATTCATACTTGGTTATGGAATACATAGATATAGAACCCATGAGTACAGCAAGCACTACTAAATGGGAACTATTAACTGGAATAATAATTGATGTTTGTAATCTGAATAAATATAGCATCATTTACTGGCCACTGGGTAATTAAATTCTAGAGCAGAAAGTAGAGGAGRGAAGTAAATTATATAGAAGTGGAGGGTCTTAGAGGAAACATTGTTATGGCTGGGGCTGAGGCTCAGTGGTAGAGTGCTCCCATAACATGCATGAAGCACTGGGTTTGATTCTCAGCACCACATAAAAATAAAGATATTGTGTCCAACTACTAAAATATATATATATATTTTTTTAAATTTTGAGACTTGACTGCTCCTGACTCTAAGGCTCTTTTAATGTAACTTCTTTGAATTATTTGTACCACTGTGCCTTTTTTAAAATACATAATACCAGGTATTAAACCCAGGGGCACTTTACCAATGAGCTATATCCTCAGTCCTTTAAATTAATTTATTTTTATTTTGAGACAGAGTCTCACTAAATTGCTGAGGATCTTGCTAAATTGCTAAGGCTGACTTTGAACCTGCAATCCTCCTGCCTCAGTCTCCCAAACTGCTGGGATTACAGGCATGTACCACCACACCTGGCTTACTCTAAGGCTCTTTATGTGTAAAGAACAGATTCATCTTTTGAACTCAAATCATCATCTCAGATTAGTGCTGATCTATTCTTACAAGCCAGCCATTTTTCCTTTTTCAAGTATTCTCTACCAGTTACCAATAGCAATTCTACACTTAAAATATTTCTATACTATAATTTGTGAAAATAGATACTTTCTTTTTGTGAATTATTTTAATTTGCAAAATTCCAAATGTGATTTTTAGTGATACTATAAATCCAGCAGTTTGGGGAAAATATTTAAATTATTCAATATTATACTTTATGTGGATAATGATGCCTCCTTATCTGGTCCACAAATCATGGCTCTCAGTCTTGCCTTTTGGGTTCATTCCTCCATACCTATCTATTATTACAAGGAGGAAAATCAAGAAGCCAAAAGGAACACCTGAGAACACTGCCTTAGAACCTCATTTTAGTATGTACCTTTGTATTAGTCCGTTTCCCACTGCTATATGTAAGGTAGATACTGTATAAAGAAAAGAGGTTTATTTAGCTCATAGTGTCTGTGTCCAAGAGCATGGCATCTGTTCTGCTCTGGTAAGGGCCTCATGATGGATGACATCACAATGGCAGGAGTGTGTACAGAAGGGACTACATGATGAGACAGGAAGTCAGCACAGGATTCAGGGGCCAGGCTTGCTCTCTTATAACAATCCCCTTCTCAGGAACTAACCAGGATTCCATAAGAACTACACTAATCTTTTTCAAGGGCAGCATCCCCAATGACCTAACCACCTTCCACTAGTCCCCATGACTTACAGAGGTTCCACTACCTCAAGATCCTTACATGGGGACAAAGCCATCAGAATATGAACCCTGTAGGACAAACCATATGCAACCRCAGCAGACTTTTATAAGAACTTTTTTTTTTCTTTTTTTGGTACTGGGGACTGAACCCAGGGGAACTTTACCACTGAGCTACATCCCTAGTCTTTTTGTTTTTTATTTTGAGACAGAGTCTCACTAAGTTGCTAGGTTCCYGCTAAGGTGCTAGGGCTGACCTCAAACTTGTGATCCTTCTGCCTCAGCCTTCCAAATAGCTGGGATTACAGGCATATGCCACCACACCCAGCTCTATGAAAATTTAATGAAAGTTTCCATGACCTTCTTCCTAGAATTGCATATGTGCATAAATATTAATGTACATTGCTGGTTGTTCCTGGATCCTCTAAAACTTGAACACAGGTCCTAGGATAAGTACTCTTGCCTTAGGAACATAACTACACACAATTTCAAATAACATGGCCTATTTTGGGATTGACATTGATTTAGAATGAGGCCATGAGACTGACAGAATACAAAAGGCAAGGCCATCAATCAAAGAATGACTGAAGATACAAACCGAAAGTTCTCCTTTATCAGAAACTATAGGTAATAAAACCATCATTTTTTATTAGTCAGTTTTCCCTTACTGTAATAAATACCTAGATAAATTAAATTAAGAAAAAAGGTTTATTTTGGCTCTCAGTTTTAGAAGTTCCAGTTCATGATCATGATCAYGCCTTTGGGTCTTTGGTGAGGCAGTACACCATGAAGGGGAACATGTGGAACAAAGGTGTTCACTTTATGGTCAGGAAGTAATCAGGAAACAAGAGCAAGGAAGAAGAGGCTTCCCAATACCCACTTCATCAACACAATGACGTTTCTTCCATTAGGCCCAACCTTCCACCATCTCCCAATAGTGCCAGATTTGGGACCAAGCCTTTAACACATGGAGGACATTTCAGATCCAAATATAGTACCTCCACATTACAACAATCAATCCTGGCATCATGAAATGCAATAGATGACATAATATTTACAGCAGTAGTAAGAACAACCACTAATGGTCACCGGGCATTTATTATGTGCCAATCACTGTTTTAACTACTTTATATGAATTCATTTAATCTTTACAACCACCCTAAGAGATAGGTGCATTTCCCTCACTTAAAAAATAGGAAAACAAAACTTTTCTAATTATACATGTCGAGACAAGGCCTATCACATGTACCATAAATTATGCTATTGGTAACATGTTTCCCTATATATAATTTGGCCTAGTAGTTTATCAAAATCTGTGTGACAATCAGTCCCAGAGACTCATAAGGCTGAGGTAGGCCAGGCACAGTGGTACACATTTGTATTTCCAGAGGCCTGGAAGCTGAGGCAGGAGGATCACAAATTTGAGGCCAGCCTCAGCAGCTTAGTGAGACCCTGT